CTGGAGTGTGTTCAAACTCCAGTTTTCAGAAAGAAAACCATAATCCCTACTAACGGACTCTCCCAAGATGACCTTTTCCTTTAATTAGATCAAACTTAAGAATATTTAAGCTAGGAAGTCCTCTATAATTACTGGATTCTAATGGCCCTCTCTCTTTAAATCTGGACATGTCTTTTGAAAATAATGTAATAGTATTTATATTACCTTAAAAAAAGTGGCAATACAGAAAATACAATACAAATGAAGTATTACATGTTTGGTTAACTTAGTTTTAAGTCTAGATTAAAACTAATTAAAGAATTTTAAAATTGCTGTTTTAATTCTCTTTCTTTATGCCTTCCTGGTGGCTTAGGTAGTAGAGTCCGCCTATAATGCAAGAGATCTGGGTTTGATCCCTGGGTTGGAAAGATCCTCTGGAGAAGGGAATAGCTGCCCACTCCAGTATTCTGGCCTGGAGAATTCCATAGACAGAGGAGCCTGGCAGGCTACAGTCCATGGAGTCACAAAGAGTTGGACACAACTGATGACCAAAGCTTTCACTTCAGTTTCAATTATACTCAATCAAAGGTTATCTTTACTGATGCTGTTCTGGCCTCTTAAGAAGTTTTACATTTTCACAATTTGAGCAGAGAGCAACACTGGCAAGACTCTATTACCTTAAGTCCACTTCTAGCGTGTCAGTCAACTACTGACAAATTTTGTCATGTAACAAGCAACTGCAAATGCTTCCAGGTCATTTACCACTAAGCATGCCTTTCTCTCACGTCTAAGTGAGCTGGAGTGTCTCCTCCAGCCTGCATCTGGCTGCACAGTTTTGCAGGGGTTCTGCTCCCAGCCTGTTAGGCTGGGGCCCGAGATGGAGGAAGAGGAACCATCCAGAGAAGCTGCTTTCATGACAGTGATGGGAGTGTGTGTGTGTGCGTGTGTATTAGTTGCTCAGTCATGTCCAACTCTTTGCAACTAATTGCAAATATTGCTAATATCAGTCTGTATTTGTTGCTGTAGTTTAGTCACTAAACCATGTCCAACTCTTGTGACCCCATGGACTGTAGCCTGCAGACTCCTCTGTCCATGGGATTCTCCAGGCAAGAATACTGGAGTGGGTTTCCATGTCTTCCTCCAGGGAATCATCCTGATCCAGGGATCAAACCCATGTCTCCTGCATCTCCTCTGCTGGCAGGCAAATTCTTTACCATTGAAAAAAAATTATTTTCTTTCAATTTCTGAGCCACTAGGGAAGCTCCCACTAGTCTCTATGTGAGAGACTAAATATGTATTTTTAAACAGTGTATAAACTTCTACATGTTTTCTGGTGGAAATGCTAGAGCAAAACAGTTGTTCATAAGGTCAACGTTTTATCTTGCTGCTATTATTAATCTGTTGAGTTTTTCAATACTGACACTCAGCTGGTCTACACCACTTTAACCATGCTACCTATTAAATTTCTTAAAGACCTATATAACAGTTGGTAAATAGGAGCTGTCACAAGACCACGAGACTGCTTTATTGACTACACCAAAGCCTTTGACTCTGTGGATCACAACAAACTGGAAAATTCTTCAAGAGATGGAACACCAGACCTCCTGAGAAATCTGTATGCAGGTCAAGAAGCCACAGTTAGAACTGGACATGCAACAACAGAGTGGTTCCAAATAGGAAAAGGAGTATGTCAAGGCTGTATATTGTCATCCTGCTTATTTAACTTATATGCAGAGTGCGTCATGAGAAATGCTGCGCTGGATGAAGCACAAGCTGGAATCAAGATTGCTGGGAGAAATATCAATAACCTCAGATATGCAGATGACACCACTCTTATGGCAGAAAGTGAAGAAGAACTAAAGAATGAAAGTGAAAGAGGAGAGTGAAAATGTTGGCTTAAAACTCAACATTCAGATAACTAAGGTCATGGCATCTGGTCACATCGCTTCATGGCAAATAGATGGGGAAACAGTGGATACAATGACAGACTTTATTTTGGGCAGCTCCAAAATTACTGCATATGGTGACGGCAGCCATGAAATTAAAAGACGCTTACTCCTTGGAAGAAAAGTTTTGTCCAACCTAGACAGCATATTGGAAAACAGAGACATTGCCAAGTGCTGTCTAGTAAAAGCTATGGTTTTCCAATAGTCAAGTATGGATGTAAGAGTTGGACTATAAAGAAAGCTGAGTGCCGAAGAACTGATGCTTTTGAACTGTGGTGTTGGAGAAGACTCTCAAGAGTCCCTTGGGCTGCAAAGAGATCCAATCCGTCCATCCTAAAGGAAATCAGGCCTGAATATTCATTGGAAGGACTGATGCTAAAGCTGAAACTCCAATCCTTTGGCCACCTGATGTGAAGAACTGACTCATTTGAAAAGACCCTGATGCTGGGAAAGATTGAAGATGGGAGGAGAAGGGGACGACAGAGGATGAGATAGTTGGATGGCATCACAGGCTCAATGGACAGGAGTTTGAGTAAACTCTGGGATTTGGTGAAGGGCAAGGAAGCCTGGTGTGGTGCAGTCCATGGGGTCACAAAGGGTCAGACAGGACTGAGCGACTGAACTGAACTGAAAGAGTGCCACAGCCAGCTAATGCTCTCAAGACTCTGACCCCCTTCCAGAAGAAGTCTAATCCTTTTAAGATGGAAAATAGGACAGAAGATAAGGATGTGGTTGATCTTCTCTCACTGGGGGCCTTGAGATCATCAGGGCTGGTGTCAGGTGATTCCAGAACAGGTTCCAGTGGTCTTTGAGGTCATCCTCAGGTGACATTGGAGAAGGCAATGGCAACCCACTCCAGTCCTCTTGCCTGGAAACTCCCATGGACGGAAGAGCCTGTTAGGCTACAGCCCATGGGGTCGCAAAGAGTCGGACATGACTGAGCGACTTCACTTCACTTCAGGTGACATTCTTTCTGGAATGAAGGATGCTCCCAAAGGAAAAGGGTGTTAGGGAGTGTTGTCTTGGATGGGTGAGCATCAGGTGTATAGTATGATCTTAGCTAGAGAGCAGTTGTTTTCAGAGTACAATTAAGCCAGAAACAGAAGGAAAACAAAGATTTGTAGGTTGAATGGATGGAATGAATAAGGGTTGAATAAAGGCTAACATGGGGCTTCCCTGGTAGCTCAGCTGGTAAAGAATCTGCCTGCAATGTGGGAGACCTGGGTTTGATCCCTGGGTTGGGAAGGTCCCTTGGAGGAAGGCATGGCAACCCACTCCAGTAATCTTGTCTGGAGAATCCCCATGGACAGAGGAGTCTGGTGAGCTACAGTCCATGGGGTCACAGAGTCAGACACGATTGAGCGACTGTGCGTAGCACAAGGGCTAACATAATGGGAAGCCTCAGGTAGTTTCTGCCTTAGCAGTTGTCCTCAGCTTAAAATACCATGCCAAAGTGATACATTTTGGGGAGGCTTATTCAGGACCTCTTCACTCTTATGAGTCATTTTGTTTGAATAGAGAGAGATGTGTCTGCCATCTGGAATGGACTTAATAGATAGTGAAATCCATTCAGCATCAGCAAACTCAAATCTAGTTGTGACCTGTTAATAGATTTCCACAACTTGAATGTATAAACTCACATGTTTGTTTCAGAACATCATTTTAGATGTTTTATATCTTAATTACAAAGCCAGTGTTTTTATTTATATAACTTATTGCATGAGATTCATTAATAACCTAGTTATGATAGCTTTTGTTTATATATGGGCTTCCCAGGTGGCACTAGTGGTGAAGAATCAGCCTGCCAGTGCAGGAGACACAAGAGATGCTAGTTTGATCCCTGGGTTGGGAAGATCCCCTCGAGTAGGAAGTGGCAACCTACTCATACTCTAATATATTGAAAAATGATTTCATGATGATATTTGGAAGAAACTGTGGTTTTGTATAACAGTGGAATAACAGCAATATGATTCTTGAGAAAAATATTGATGAGATTAATTACAGAATTGTTTCTGTGAGAGCTGGTTATGTCTTTTTTGGAGAAGAAAAGGGCAACCCACTCCAGTATTCTTGCCTGGTTATGTCTTTACAAGGGTTATGTGCCTGGAAATCAAACTATTATAATTTTTCAAATATGTTTGAGAACACTACAGTAAACACTGTACAAACGCCATTACTTTTGCTTGTGGGATAAATGCATTTCTCTTACAACAATCAAATGCTACCTGGTTATTTTGTTTTTTTAATTTATGTTTTATAGTTACAGATCTGTTTTTAGACTTTTTTACTGTTTCATGACTTGCTTTGCTATTTTAAATCCATATGCACTAAGAACCGCTATTTTTAATTTTCTGCATCAAGTGTCATCCTAAGATCTACTAAGTGGCTTAAGATCCTAAAATCATTTGAAAAAAATGTTTGAGAAGAGCTGGAGACGGGAGGAGGAGGCGGAGGCGGAGGCGGCGGCGGAGGCGGGGCGACTCCGGTGACCGGGAGCGCCGCAGACTGGCAGCTGCGGCGACTCCCCCTTTTGTGTCTGGTCTGCTCGGAGCCTCTGGAAGTGCTTCCCGGAGGGGCGCGGGCTATCTCGCCGCCTCGCTGCCCACCCCCCTCCCTAGCCACCTACATCCGCCCTCCCGCCGCCCCCCGCCCTCGGCCCGCGACACCCGAGCTCCGCCCGGAGCCTAGAGCTGCGGGAAAACGAGGCGGCGGCGGCGGCGGCGGCTTCCTCTGGGGAGGGGGTTGTGATTCGCTCACAGGAGCCCTTGAAGGGAGAAGACGAAGCTTTTACGGCGGAATTTACCTCAGGCAAGATGGAGCGGCAGCAATAAAAAAGAGAGCGAGCGAGGAGCGCACCCGGGAGGGCTAGGAAGGGCAGCCTGCCGCCCCCTCCCTTCCCCCGCTTCCCACCGCCCCTCAGCCCTCCGGCGGGACCTGCCCAGCGCTCGCAGGATTGTTCCGCGAAGGCGTGAAGGCGGTGGGTTTGTCCATGGAGGCAGGCACCTTTTTCGATCCAGTCGAGGAGGAGGATTTGCTGTGCTCAAGACCGGAGTGAGGGAAGCACCGAAGCGAAACTTAAAAGGATTCTTGCCCCTTCGGAGCACAGGCGATGCGCCTCGGGTCGCCCGGCGCCGCCACCGGCCGTCCGGCTTCGCCCTTCCCGGCAGTCAGGAACTTGTTCTGATCCTCGGCGCCCCTCGAATCCCCGCTGCCCTCGGCGCCCCTCGAATCCCCGCTGCCCACCCGTCGGCACCCTGGATATGTTTTCCCCCAGACCTGGATATTTCTTCGATGTCGTGAAACTACGGGGGAAATAACTGCGGGGCTTTTTTTTTTTTTTCCCTCTCGTCTCCGTGCTTCTCCCCACGGACATGCCTTCACTTTGGGGCGCCGAGGCACCCAGTCCTGGGCAAATGAACACCCCCAGCCGCGAGGGAGAGAAATGAAGGGAATTTGTGCAGCGGAATGAAAACTCTGCCGCTCGGTCCTCTCCTCTGCCATTTGTCCTTTCAAGCTGCATTGTAATACGGGCCGGAGAAGTCCGACGAGAGCGAGCACTGTCCTCCCGGCCGCGTTCCTCCGCCCGTATTCACTTTCCGTCTTTCTTTTTCTCTGCTCTCCTTCTCGGCTGACCCAGGGATGACTTCGTCTCCGCGGCGGCCCCGGCGGGTGCCCTCGCTGCTGTGGACCGTCCTGCTGGTCAGCGCTGCGGCCGGCGAGTCGCCCCGGGTGGCGCGTCCGGGCCGCTTCCCTGCGGCTGACGGGGAGCGAGCCCGCAGAGGCCGAGGCCTGCGTTCGCCCTTCGCCGCGCGTCCCCTGATTGCCCCGGACCTGCGCGCCTGTCCCGGTCCTCCCGGAGAGCTGACCTTCCACGTTTTCGTGGAGTTTCAAATCCCCACACCGCGTATTCCCCACCCCCACTCCCCCCACCGGGGCGGGGGGGAAGAAAGACACTTAGGGTGTGGTATCTTGACATTTTTAGCTGTGAGGTAATGCAGGGATTAAAAGTAATATTTTAATCACCAGCGAACCGTGCCTATTAGGAGATCTTTGGGAACAGACCTGTAGATTTTTTTTTTTTTTTTACTATAAAGGAGCAGATTTGGCTGTAAGTAGAAAGGACATCCACTGTAGAACACACACTTGAATCTTATTTTTAGATGTAGATCACTCTTTGAGAATCCCTGGTGCTTTGATTATCCCAAAAAATGTTGAGGAAGGCAGAATTGAGAGAGTCTTAGTACATTGTATACTACTGTTAATCGTTTTTATCATTATTTTGTTTTGAAGTATATTAGTAATTTTGATCTTTTACGTCTGGAAAGTCATATTTTGTATACTTTTGGAATTACTTTTGGGCTTAGAAGTGTTTTCGGTAAGTTTTCCTTTAGTCATCTGGCTTTCTATTGGCTTTCCTGTCATTGAGGCAACTTTGACCTGACGTCAAGACTTCTAGGAGATTTGAGTCCTGAAAGTTCTTTTGACGTTTTACTGAAGCTTAAAGGGAAATCCTTTCTTTAGGATATTTTGTTCTTAGTTCTCAGACACCTTTAGGAGAAAAAACCTCGTTTCGTTTGCAGTTACTTTTCAAGTCTTTTGGTGATTTGCTTTTAGAAATTTTAGGGAGTGAATTATGCATATAATTCTTAAGTTGGGTTTAGGATGGCCAGATAGATTATACATTTAAAAGTGAATAGAGGACAACATAACACCTTTCCAGTTATTTTTTCTTAATAAGTATAATTTTCGCATTCAATAAATTTCTCAATGCTGTGTTAGATATGGAGATTTCATATTTCCATTTGGAAAACACTGAAAAAAATTTTGAACTTTTGTGCTTTTAATATTGTTGATTGATGTCTACTATGTTCATGATAGTTGTGTTAAAATAATATGAACTTCTGAATTTATTTTAACACTGATATTTTAATATTACTAATTATCACAGTTTCTTTTGGGGAAAAGTGAATGATTTTTCTCTAGATTACTTTATATTGTGTTACCTCTTTAAATTCTCTAGTATTAAGCCATGTGGTTGGTCCCTGTAAAATATGAAGACAGTGAAAGGCCTTAAGTTTAAGCAGTCATTCTAAGAGCAGAAATCTCAGAGCATACACTTTTCAGTGTTGGTTTATTCTTGACTTTTCTACAACACAGATTCTAACTTATAGTTGACAGAATTATCAATTTGTGATTAGAACTGATGAAAGTAAGAGAAAGATCAATTGACTTAAAAAAAAAACACATGATTTCTGTTTGGTAAATGAAATATTAGAATAGTGGTCCTTAAAGGGATAGATTAAAGTAATCACTGTTTAAAAGTGATTTTAGTCGTCTTTTTTCTTCAGTATTACTAACTACCAGATGCTAACATTTGTGAAGTTGGATTTCAGATCTGTGACAATAACAACAACAGTATTTACTGAGTGCTAGCTATGTGCCAGGAACTGTTCTAGTAGCCTTAGATGTATTTTCTTATTTGATCCTCATGACAGTTCTTTACTCCAGGTTCAGTTATGGTCCTTTTATAGAGAGTGAAGTACTCTGTGCATCCCCATGGATGTTAGCCCACCAGGCTCCTCTGTCCGTGGAATTCTCCAGGAAGGAAGACTGGAGTGGGTTGCCATGTCCTTCTCCAGGGGATCTACCCCACCCAGGGATTGAACCGGGTCTCCTGCATTGCAGGCAGATTCTTTACCATCTGAGCCATTTGGGAAGCCCGGAGTGAAGTACAGAGAATTTTAATAACTCACCACACGGTAAATTGTGGAGCTAAAATTACAACCTGCACCCTTACCTACCATGTTAATGAAGGCAACAACTTCTCAGTCTAATTGGGAACATGAGATAGAGTTAGTGTCTTCAGATTAACCTTTGAAAAGAAGCCGGGACTCTTGACAGGATCTTAGTACCGCACTTCTTATGCAAATGTCATGGTTCTAAATGTGTAAAACTTTGCCTAATATTGGAGTGGTTAGTGCAGTTTCATTAAGTGTAAGGTAGCTACAGAGGGCCTGTGTGAATTTGGGATGTACAGATGCAATGATGTAACTAGACAGGTGCACATGGTGCAGCTGAACAGGAAAATAATACTGGAAGATTGACATCACATCCCTCAATGGGGTCATGGATAAATCCTATTTTTTTGGGGTCCCTCTTTCCCACTTATTCTATCTAGTTCTTGGATCCTTAATTCTAAGAAGAGTTGGTATGCAGAAATTAGAATTTATAGAAAATACATGCTTGTTTGGTTTGTAAATGAAGTCTTAATTTTAATAAAAGGATGCGATATAATGTAATAAAAAGAAAAAGAAAAAAATGTTTGAGTAAACAAACATTTATTTCCCTTGGATTGAATGTTCATGTTTTCAGTAGATTCTCAAAGAGATTCTGTAACTTTTTCTACACCTATCACATAATAAGAAACCTCAGTCTAATTAAGTACCCAAATAGATACCACGCAGACTGTTAGAAGCTTTCATGTTATTTTATTGTTTCATCCTTATAACAGTCATGTGACATGGCTGTTATTAATGTTTTCATTTGTGTAGCTTGTGAATGGTCTCTCTGAATTCACAGTCTCTTTCTTCAATACTTGACGCATCAGATATCATCCTTATCTGGATTATCAATTATGGACCTGTTAGACACTTTTATGTCCCCCACAGTGATAAACACGCAGCTACTAAGCCAAAATGACAGTACTGCTGCTGCTGCTGCTAAGTTTGCAGCTGCAACAATGTCGAGGTTGGAATATTAATGATCTAGGGTCCCACACTCAAATCTCCACGATTCCAGCTCATACTATAAATGAGCAGATGAGGCCAAGTTTAAAAACTGAAGGACATTGCAGGGACTAAGGTGAATTGTTGAGTGGGCAGCTCTATTCACTTCTAGCCAACTAGAAGGAATACAGGAATACAGCCTGAAGGAATACAGAGACACTGTTTCTAGACCTTCAGACCTTAATTTCTCTTTAAAAGTACCACATGGGTCAGATAGAACCATCCTATCAACAGGGTCTTGCCCTTGTACTTTTGTGTCTTGGTTTTGTGTGGCTGATTCCATCTTATCTTATAGGGATGACTGTCATCCTATTTTTTAAGGCATATAATTAAAAGTTTTATTAATTACTAAAGAAGTCAGAGTTGTGGCCTGGTATTCATCAGGCAGGCTGGTCTAACAGAATTTTTCTTGATTTACAAGGCGATTCTGGCTGGTTAATTACAATCATTGAAGGCTTTAAGAAAGAGAGGGGTTTGATTTGTATGTTTGGAAAATCATCTTTGTGGTTTGAAGATAGTACAGATGTGGTGTGTTAGGGTCCCCTTCAGTAGAGGCTGGAGAGGCACAGTGTACTGATGCTAAAGGGAAGGGAATAAAGTAGACTCACTTGACAGGTTCTGAGACAGGGCCATTAGGATTTGCTAAAGAACTGGATGGGGCAGTGAGTGAGAGGTGAGAATTTATGGGGTATATATTCTCTCATCAGATTATCTATGTTCCAATCCTACCAACTTAGAAACAGAGAAAGATATTTAACATTTCCATGCTTCCTCATCGGATTGTTAGAATGATTAAATAAACTATTTAAAAAAAATGCATGCGCATGAGCCTAGCAAAGTGTGTTTCCAAATCAATGTTCCCTATGAGCAGGGGCTTGTGGGACTCCAAGCTTCCTGTCTTCAGTCGGTGATGCAGTGGTTGGCTGTGATTTAGCCAACCAGTGGTTTAGCCAGGGGTCAGTGTTTGCAAGGCTTTTGCTTTTCCCTCAAGGCAACAAGATGTCTGCTGTGGTTTCTTCCTTTACCTCAGTATTCCAGATAGAAGAAAATATGTAAAAAGAGACTTTTGCACCTCTTGTCAGGAGAGAAAATGCTTCTGCAAGGGTGTCTAGGAGATACCTGCTTACTTATTTTACTAGAGCTTTATCAGATGATCAGTCTTAACTAGAGATGTGGCTGAGATGTTAAAAATTTATTTAGATACCTTTGCAGTCCGTCAAACTGAAGATTCTGATAATGAGGAGAACAGATTTGGAGCTTGGATAGAGGATTTGCCACAGACAGAAAGAACATGAAACCCCTTTATGCAGTGTTTTAAAAGGGATTTTGCCACTGGGAGACAAGAGTGACTAGTTCATCTATGAAGTAATTTTTCAGCGATTGGGTTCTATCATTTAATCTGGCTCATCTTCAAGAGCAGCATCATGTAGTTAATTCAACATTGTCATTGGGCAAATTTTATTAGCAAACAAATCAGCAAAATAATACAGAGTAATTGCATTAGTCCTCTGCTGGTTAAATGTTGTAAGATGTCTTAGTATACATGTAAGCATTTATTAATGCAAGGCTTTATTCCAACTCCTCCCCTCTTTACCACCACCTCTTCTACCCCCAGTAACATAAATACCTATGGTTGGTCATTTATGTAATTTTTTTAATTCATTTACTTACAAATTATTCAGAGACATTAATGCATTATGTTTCATTTCCTAAGCA